AAAAAGGTATCGGAATTCCCTTCTAAAATCGCATTTTTTCTGCAGTTCTACCTTTGATAGCATTGGAATCATGGATTAGTTGTGTATTAAGAGCTGCTTGTTCAATGTGAGGTCTCATGCATATATGAGCACAAGGAAATTAAAATGAGTGCAGTGGGTATGTTGTGCCGAGCGAAATTCGACACAAGCCATTAATTTCTCTCCTTTTCACATCTAAGGCTTCTCAGAAAATAAACTTGATTTTCATGTTTTGTGAACGTGCCTCCATAACAAGCACAAAACCGTTTGTACGGGCGCAGCACGTACCGAAACATTCCTGTGACACCGGTATCAGACTTGGCGAATCCTGCGAATCGCGGGGTGCTAGTGATGCGCCAGCGGTTCGAACGATGTACCAGCGTTTTAAACATTGTCAGCGTGCGCATGAGAAGGAAATTTCTTTGTTTTTCTATCGTCGAGTCGCCGGTACATCGTTCGAGCCGCTGACGCTTGTATCCTCTCGCTAAAGTTTCGCTGGATTCGCAAAGTCTGACACGGTCATGAGTGGCGGTGTCTACAATTAAATTTTGAAACTTGGTTTCAACAGGAGAGGTCTTCCAACTCCCCAAAGAGTTTCGGATGAAAGCCCGGGTATGTCGATAGGGTTGAGAGTACTGGTCACAAATATGCAGACCAAAACCAAGTGAACTTTTCAGTAATGTTGTGAGCGGTCCGAATTGGTCATAAATGCTGCAAGAAGTTGTGGCGCCTGTCGGCCTCTATGTCAGAAACGAATATCGCATTCGTAATCACGTCACCTATTAACCCTTCAGGCAAAATTTTCAGAAAAGAAAAAACTTCAGATTGGAGATACAGTCGGATTAGCTCGCTATACCGGCGTGCGTTTCATGCCAACTTTGGCTACTCACAACTTGCTTGAAAAGCTCTAGCGGTAGTTTTGGCCTCCACATTTGTATCCAGCTTTCTTGACTGCATTAATTCACCTAAGTTCCAGCTGAAAAGCTGGTCTAGTAAACAGTTTTCGTCTGTTTTCAGGAATGTATGCTGCGGCTTAAAGATTGAATAAATAGCACAGTTTCAGAACATACGCAATCGGATCTTCTGTCGTGGCTGATTTTAGTTTTTTTAAGGTGCTCTGTGATAAACATGGAAACGCCATTTGGCTAAATGAACGTGAATGTTCTATTCAACGTAGGAATCAAAAGGTGATTGAAGAGGCTCCAAGCAGTTTCGTTATTCCGGAGATGCGTCGCAAGATGGGCGAACAAGGTTTCTATTTCTTATTGGAAAGTTTGTTAGTCAAACTCATTTTTGATTACCTTTTATTTCAGTCAGCTTGCATTAGCTGTGGGATATGATTCCTAGCGATCGGGAGCAAATATCTACGTATTAAGTAGGAATTTAAAGGAACGATTAGTTCTCGGTCGACCGAAAGAACCTTGCTAATGTCTTAGAAATGAACACACTCTCCAGTCATGAACTATTCCCCTTTCTCTGGTCATCCCAATGCTATTCAACTATACAGTCACCACCTATCAAGACTGAGTCATCACTGGAATCGACATTGTGCAACAAATGTTACGTGTCGCTTACGGCCATAAGCTTCCACTCACCCAAGACCAAGTTCCGTTGAACGGATGGGCTTTCGAGAGCAGAGTTTATGCCGAGGTTCTTCACCGTTTTTTTTTCTTTTTATTCTTTTGCGGAGTTTGAAGTTGTAGCTATTTTATCACAAAAGACCAAATGATAGGGTAAGTATAGCAACTCTATGCCATATTACCCCGAAGGAGTCTTGTGTTCACCATTGATTTTGCGCTCCTGGTTCAAGGGATTTTGCAGGCGCTCTAACCACAACGTCCCCTTCAGCGCCCTATCTAGAACTGCCACTGTATATTTGAGAGTGTACAATTACTGTATGCGGGAGCTAATAATAATCGCGAATTCAACAATGGAAGCAGCAGTGAAGGGGGGGGGGGTGTGTACGTCTTCAACCGTTAAATCCCATCGGAACTAGAACGCTGGGGAATTCGCTGCCCCCGTCATTCCCGCCGTCGGACGAATTCTGGAGCGATCGTTTTGCTCTGCTCTTTCTCTTCCCCAGAGTTTTCTCAGTCATGCTCCGAAACGAGAGAACACCTATGGGGATTTGTGCTGGTCAAAAAGATATGTATTTGTGCCTCTTTTTGTGAAGGCTTTAAAGGACCTCCAGGTAAAAATCTTTGCGTTCTTTCTCAACACGCATATATCATTTGTGATCACTAGAGACAAATACAAAGTTTCACACACAAAAATTCAGTTTCCGAAGAGAAACAAACTCACAAAAACCACATCCTATGGGCAATTGAAGGTAAGTGGCCCGGAGCAAAAGGCGGGACTATGAAAGAAATTCCAAACCTCTGGCCGGACGCATAGTCGGTCGGACGACAGCAACGACTGCTGCTGTCGGACGACAGCAACGACTGCAGGTGTCGCATAAACCGCGGTCGCAAATGGAAGGCGACGCGGTCACCCAATGCAAACCCAGACAACACGTGACTGCGCGTGATCGTATTTCGAAAGTCCCACTGTAGTGTGGAATAGTAGCTGCGTATTGATCTTGCAGTCGTTGCTGTCGTCCGACAGCAGCAGTCGGACGACAGCAACGACTGCAAGTGCCGCAGATCGATACGCACCCAATACTGTGCGACACTTGCAGTCGTTGCTGTCGTCCGACCGACTATGCGTCCGGCCTCTGGGGCCAACTACTACGGGTGGCCGACGCAATAAAGGAGTCGCGATTTCGAAGTATAAACAAGTTAATGTCATAAACATACATGCAGTGGAAGTGTGAGATCTTAATGCAATATTTGAGAAGGCCGTAAAGAGTCTCTAGTGACGGCACTCCGAGAACCGAGTGGAAAATTCCGTCGCCAGCATTTGTGGCAGATGTCCGGCTGTACCGAATTTTTAGTTGCTCCTGTTCATTATCGCTGATCCCCTTTGATACACGCGTAAAGTGCGCGGAACCAAGGAAGGAAACTAAAAAAAAAAACTAAGGAAAAAGTCATTCTCTCTCTATATTCAATCCAACTCATTGGCGACAATGTGATTTTTCGCGTGTTTGCCACGTGGGACCGCGCCTTTTTAATATTTTCAAAAAATGCATCATAATGCAGCAAACCACTGGCACCAAAAAATGTTGAATCTAAAAGCGAAGCTGTTGAGACTCTGCACGTCTTATCCTGATCGTTGCTAAAATATGCGTAGATGTTTTCGTTTCGCCAAAGGTGGACTTCACCCGAAATACTTCCATTTTTCTCTATAAACTCCGAATCCAGCTCTCTTCTTGTGAAAGTTGTATCACAACTCTAACTAACGGAAAACGAAAGCCAGCCGTATACAATTGAAAACAATAGGTTTTTTTTTGAAAAATCGTTTTCAAAAACACCTTGTGTAAAGCATCAGTTAAGAAATATATGCACGGACCATTACCATAAGTACTACAATGCCTTACCGATTAATGTGTCGCTACCAGTTTAGCTCCGCACGCTACCGCGCGCATGAAAGGACGGCCGATAAAGCGTTAGCTTCACTGCTTTGAGTTGCTTTGTAAAATGCGTTAACTGACCGTTTCATGAGCTGTCCTTCTTTGCAGAAGCTCACCGTTTGATACGCGCAGTGGAGTGCGGAGCTAAAGTGGTGTCTGTAAACAACTGTAATTCAAGGTTGGGATGTGTTTGATGTTGAAATAGAAATGCCAAGTACTCACTATCGTATTTCTCCGAACATCCACCAAACATCCTCAGAAACTATGGATAGGTAGCGGTCTAGTGGTATTATATTTGGCTGATGATAACAACGCAAATGAAAGAATATTGAAATGAAATGCTTTATCTAAAGTCTGGTTTTGAGTGACCTCTATATTCTTGCGCATATCGTTATTATCGGCCCTTATCAGCCGTTATCACTTTGGATCCCCACCAAATATCCCGTAATACCCCCTACATCGCTTCTTGAAACCAACGCCTCAGTGATGCTGGGACGCACCAAAAAATGTTGAATACTAAAGCAAAGCTGTTGAGACTCTCCGTCTCATCCTGATCGCTGCCAAAATATGCGTAATCTTTTCGTTTCGCCCGAAATGCTTCCATTCCCTCTAAAAACTCCGAAATTGGGCCGGATATCGTGAATTGGCGTTCCTGCGCCTCTTATCGGATCTTATCAGTCGTTATCACTTTGTCCCCCACCAAATATGTTCCCGTCCCACCCTCTACATCACTTCTTGGAACCAACGCCTCACTGATGCTGGGACGCGCGCTATGGATATCGTGAATTGGCGTTTGGCGCCTCTTATCGGATCTTATCAGTCGTTATCACTTTCTGTCCCCACCAAAT